ACTTTTTTTTTTTTACTATAGCTTTTGATTTTTGCTGGTACATAGAAATAAAATTGATTTTTACTTGTTTCCAGAACCTTACTAAATCTTATTAATTCTACCAATTTATCTGCATATTCTTTGTGGAGGTGGGGAGGGAAGATGGGCCTATGCAGACAATAACTCCCCTGTGAATAAGAATATATTTTTTCCTCTTGAATTCTTTTTATTATTATTTTTAAAATATTTATTTATTTGGTTGCACCAGGTCTTAGTTGCCCCATGTGGGCTCCTTTTGTTGCAGCAGATGGGTTCCTTAGTTGCGGCTCCAGGGCTACTTAGTTGTGGCATGCGAACTCTTAGTTGCGGCATGCATGTGGGATCTAGTTTCCTGACGAGGGACTGAACCTGGGCCCCATGCATTGGGAGCGCGGAGTCTTATCCACTGCGCCACCAGAGAAGTCCCTCCTCTTGAATTCTTAGACCTTTCTTTCTTTTTTTTTTAAATTGTCAGTGCACTGGCTAGGACCTCCAACATAATGACATCCTTGTATTCTGATCTTGAAGGAAATGCTTTTAAAGTTTCATCATTAAGTAAGATGTGTGCTGTAGTTTTTCTTGGTGAAAGTCCCTTACTACCTTAAGGAAGTGCTTTTTTATGCACTTACATTTTTCAGGGCTTCCCTGGTGGTTGAGTCCGCCTGCCGATGCAGGGGACATGGGTTCGTGCCCTGGTCTGGGGAGATCCCACATGCCGTGGAGCGGCTGGGCCTGTGAGCCATGGCCGCTGAGCCTGCGCGTTCGGAGCCTGTGCTCCGCAACGGGAGAGGCCAAAACAGTGAGAGGCCCGCGTACCGCAAAAAAAAAAAAAAAAAAAATTTTAGATGTTTTTTATTTATTACTGAGATGATCCTATGATTTTCCCCTTTATCTGTTAATGTGGTGAATTACATTTTGTATTTAAAAACTGATTTTGCATTGTTAAATCAACCTTGCATTCCAGAGATAAACTCAACTTAGTAATGATGCATAATCTTTTTTATGCAGTGCTGAATTCACATTGCTAATAGAGATTAGCAATTTTAGAATTTTTCCATTGATAGTCTTAAATGAGATTAGACTATAATTTTCCTTTCCTTTTCTCTTTGTTCTGATATCAAGGTTATGTTAAAAACTCATTAGAAAATGGAAAATGCTGGGATTTCCCTGGTGGTCCAGGTGGGTAAGAATCCACCTTACAATGCTGGGGACATGGGTTCGATCCCTGGTCAGGAAACTAAGATCCGACAAGCCACACGGCAACTAAGCCCGCACTACAACTACTAAGCCTGTGTGCCACAACTAGAGAGCCCGTGTGCCGCAACTACTGAGCCCGTGCACTCTGGTGCCTGTGTGCTCATCACAACTAGAGAGAAGCCCACGCGCTGCAATGAAGAGCCTGTGTGCCAGAATGAAAAATCCCGCGTGCCGCAACTAAGACCCAATGCAGCCAAAAACAAATAGGTAAATAAATATTTAAAAATAAATAAATAAATGGAAAATGTTCTCTCTCCAATCTGTTTCTTGAATTTGGGGTGTATTTGCCCTGAAACTATCTAGGCCAAGCATTTTCTTTGTAAGAAGGAATTTTAACTTTGGAATCTATTCTTTAATAATTATAGGACCAACCAGGATTTTTTTTTCTTACTGAGTCATTTTTTTTTGTATTTTCTTCAGAATTTATCAATTTCAACTAAGTCTGCAATTTGACTGGCAGAAAGTTGTTCATAATATAATATGCATGTGTCAGAGTGTATTATATCACATCTAACATTTTATATTTGCTCTCTCAACCTTGAAAGATGTTTGTCAACATTACTGGTCTTCTTAAAAAGCTAAATAAAACAATAAATTACTATGAAGTGAACAAGTGTATAACATAAAGGTTAAGAAATAGAATGCTGCCAGAGTACCTAAGTTCCCATGTGCCCCTTCCTCATTTTCCCCCACGGAGGTTATACTATGTTGGCTTTTAGAGTACCAATTTTCTTGTTTGCCTTTAAACTTTTACCAGATAACTCTACAACCTTACACAATAAAGTATCACTTGTCAATTTTTAAACTTTATATAAATAGAATTTTAAAAATAGTTAATTTTATATCTGTTTTCTTTCACTCAATACTCTCAAGATTTATCCAGGTCATTGCATGTTCAGGAGTTCATTCAATGCATGACTATAATACAGTATATTCATCCATTATAATGTTGATATAAATTTCTGATTTTTCATTTTCAGGCTATTATGTATAATGTAGCTATGAACATTCTTTTGTACATGGATTCTGGTATTCGTGTGCCTATTTTTCCTGAAATAAATATCTGGGATTACAACTGTTTGGTTTTAAGGTATGCATATCTGGTGCATGTGCAATGGTATCTTACTTGCATTTTCTGCAATATGAATGAGGAACATCTCTTAATAAACTTACTAGCCACTTGTAAAATGCCTTTTTTTCTATAGAGATGTCTGATTTTTCAGATTTCTAAGTTATTTACATATTCTGGATATGAGTCGTTTGTCAGTTGCATAAATTGCAAACATCTACTCTGTGACTTTCACTCTCTTAATGATGTCTTTTCATGACTAGAAGTTCTTAATTTTAATGTAGATTTATCAGTCTTTCCCACTATAATTAGCTTAAACAAAGTAACAAATTTAAGTAATCTTTTCCAACCCAACAGATTAAAGATACTCTCCTGTATTACCTAGTAAAATCTTTATAGTTTTACCTTTCATATTTAGGTCTACAATTCCCTTAAAATTCATTTTTGTATATAGCATGTGAAGAAATTAATTTCCTTCCCTTCTTTTTTTAATAAAGATACCCATTTTTCTCCTCACCATTTATTGAACAGACTGTCTTTTCCCCAATGTTTTAAAGTGCTACTTTTGTCTGTTTATGTATTTTCAATTATAATCCATTAATCTATTTGTGTTCAGTACACCAAAACTTCCAACACCTCAACGTCTTGATTGTTACGACTTTATAATAAACCTTGTTTCTAATAAAGCTTCCTCAACTGAGTGGTTATTCATAACTCTTGTATTTCCGTATAAATTTTTAAAACAGTTTGTAATTTTACAAACACACACTTTGTATTTTGACTGGCTTTGTTTGAATCTATAATTCAATTTTGGGGAAACATTTTTCAAAAGTAAAGTAAGCAATCCATGACTATGGTACAATATCTCTATTAAGGTCTTTAATTAACGTAAATAAAGTCCCATGGTCTTCTCTGTAAGATCTTGTACATCTTTTATTAGATTTATTCTTAAGTACTTCAGTGGTTTTTATGCTATTGTAACAGGTATCTTTTAAGAAAAAGCATTTTCAACCTGTTTGTGGCTGGTGTTAATATAATTCATATTTGTATACTGGTTTTATATCAGAATTTAATTTAGTAATTTATCTGTAGATTCTTTAGGATTTCCTACCTACACAATCATATCATCTGTGAATAACAGTAGTATTGGTTTTTCCTTTCTAATTTTTATACCATTTCTTTTTCTTACAATACTTCACTGGGAGGGATACATTAAAATGTTGATTAAAGGTGAAGTAGGGCTTCCCTGGTGGCGCAGTGCTTGAGAGTCCGCCTGCCGTTGCAGGAGACGCGGGTTCGTGCCCCGTTTCGGGAAGATCCCACATGCCGCGGAGCGGCTGGGCCCGTGAGCCATGGCCGCTGAGCCTGCGCGTCCGGAGCCTGTGCTCCGCAAATGGGAGAGGCCACAACAGTGAGAGGCCCGCATAACGCAAGAAAAAAAAAAAAAAAAAAAAGGTGAAGTAGGCACCCCTCTCCTTTCTGATCACAAAGAATATGTTGCCAAGGTTTCATCATTAAGTATGATGTTTGTTATAGTTTTTTTGGTAGATAATCTTTTATCAGTTTAAGGATGTTCCATTCTACTCCTAATCTGCAAAAAGTCTGATCACAAGAGACAAATTTATCAGATGTTTTCCCTCCAACTACAGAGGTAATATAATTTTTCTCCCTTAACCTATTAGGAAAATATACTGATAAATTATCTAAAATTAGAATAACCTTGTGTGCCTGGCATAAACCCAACTTGGTTATGATATAATATTCTTCTTATATATTACAATATTTCATTTGTTAACATTTTGAAATATTGCATGTATTTTCACAAATAGGATTAACATTTCTTAAAATGTCCAAAGTTATCCAGAACTCATAAAATGAGATGGGAAGTTTCCTTCCTCTATTCTCTTTAAGTATTTGTGTAAGATTGGTATTAATTCATCATTAAATATTGAATAGCATTATCCAGTGAAGCCACCTGGGCCTGGTGATATTTTTCTAGGAATAATTTTAAATGTGGATTCCATTTCTGTAGTGTTTATAGGAACATTTATATGTGTTCTATTTCTTCCTATATCAGTATTAATGTTACATTTTTCTAGAAATATGTCTATGAGAATTGTGGTATTCTGTTGCAGTAATGAGTTCCAATTTGCTCACACCTTCCTGCATCCACACTCCTGGGTAATAGTACCTTCCCACATTGACTTTAAAGCTCCCTTTAAAGTTAAAATTAACTACCTGCTACACTTTGCCAGTGAACATCCAATACATTTCCAACTTCATGCCTTTTCTCACATCACTTCCTCTCCCTGGAAAACCCACATCTTTGGAGGCAACCATAGCTCCCTCCATCCCAATACAATGATAAAAGTTGTGTATTTTCTGCCAGAAAAAAATGCATACATGCACATAAACACAAACTTTTATATAAACTATCATAGGATGCACTACCTCCATTCTGCAAAGTAGATTCTAGATTAACGACTCCTGACTTACACATTGCCCAGTATACATAATGCTTACAAATACTAATAGAGGAATAAGCAATAAATATGCAAGCAAATACACAACAGAGCAAAGGCTGATATAAGCATTCATACCGGCCTATGAAAATTTGTCTGAAACAACTGTTTAAAACACGAAACATAAAATATACTTGAGTTTTAAGTATTTATTTACAAAGTTCTTCCTAATACAACTGCTTTTAAAATATAGCAATAAAGGATCATTTACTATTTAAAAGTGGTACATATGTGGCATAGAAAAAAATCTATATAGTCAGTTAAACTATTATAACTGATAACTGAAAATTGTTAAGTGACAATTAAACATTTGCAGTACTCCCTAAACAGGTAGGAAATAAAAATGCATTTATTTGTAGGAACTTGATTAATTTGTATTACTGACTTAAAAAAAAAAGACTACTGTGAAAGATAACATCAGGGTTTGAAAAATATTTTACAGAAGCAAATAAATGTATTTCAGTTTTACACTTAATTATGAGGCCATGATAAAAATTTGACCATACACATATCTATGTATTTTACAGCAGGTTAGCCAACTTTAGAATTATTTCATAAAGAATATAAACAATCTTTACCACAATTTCCCCATGGTCTTATCCTTCAAAATAAAATTCCACACACTATCAAACTAAATCAAGATTTGCTAGTGGCTAAAATCATCATAAGTATATTGTCCCTTAAACAGCTACAAGTATACACCAGTATCATGTTTGTGCAAAATATACATTATTTTCTAATCTTTCTGCCCTTATCTCAATTTCCAAGCGTATTTTGAAACCATCTCCTTTAACTGTTATTCTTGTTAATAGCGGCAGATCTTTTAAAATCCACATGCTGTATCTTTATTTATAAAATAAACTGCAAAAGGAGCAGTTAAATGACTACTTTAAATAGCACATGTGGACCAAGAACCCACTATTCAGAGATCTATGCAGGTTTTTATCTAGTAAGTACTGTGGTATCACTTAATTTCTGAACAAATTGAGATACACAGATATTTATTTCCAAAAATTCATTCATGGACACTATACAAAGAGATTCACAGCAGTATTTGGCGTCAGCCAATAAAATTTATTTACTGTATCACGTGGCAAAGTTACTAATATCATGAATAACTTAAATGATTGGTCTTCAATTGGATTCAACAAAGAGAAAAATTACATCAAAAGCAATATAATTTTTTACATGAATTAACTCAAAAAATGTAAGAGGTTAACCTTACTCCTTCAAGAAGAAAATAAAATGGCATAGTTTAGTGTTACCTTCTTTCCAGCGTTCACCAAGTGCTAACGACAAGTACCATTTAAGTCAGTTTCTTATTTGAATATGAGGTTAAAAGTTTCTACAAATTAAGATTTTTTTAAGCTTCATATCAAATGAGTTGTAGATCTACTTAAAGTGTGACTTCTCCTTTCAAAGAAGGAAGGAAGGCTGACAAGGGAAGGAGATGGGATGCCCTGTAAAGACAAAATATTTTGTATTTAACATCTTTTCTTTTAAAAATTGTAATATACAGTTTAGTATCATACATGTCATTTTTACATTTCACAAATTATCATTAACAATTAAGACATCTGAAATATCTAAACTCTTTAAATAAACAGAAACTTAAAATTAGCGGGAAGGGTGGGGAGAACACATAATTAAAACTATTTTAGCATTCTGAAAACAAGAAACAAATGGATAGACTAGTTTACTACATATGAACTCAGTTGAAACAGATATATGCTTAGTGTTTCAGGTTGTTTTTAAATTATAAATTGGAAGATAAGTTTTGAGGTTAAAAAGACAAACCCTCGTGGTTTCTTCTTAACTTAATCATAAAGCAGAATTAAGAGGAGTAAAATTACTTCATGGGAAATAATTTTCTTAATTAAAAGTCATAAACTCCGAAAGAGTTTTTATATTATGTATGCAACCCATATTTATATGTCTGTATGTGTTTGTGTGTATGTATGATTTTGCTCCATATAAAAATTGAGCAAAACAGCAGTGCTTCTGATAATAGAGATTATTAATATACTAAGCTGTCTAAACTTATTGTTTCAGAGTGTCAAAGTTAAATATCATCAGATTTTTAATAACAAAGAAACATAGACATGAATACCAAACACTCAAGAGGGGGTGTAAATCAAAACAAATTATAAAAGTAATGTTTTATTTTAGCAGATATTAATGGCTAACTGTAACTAAACTTAGAGCCAGCAAGGTAGCTAGCTATAAGTTCTCATCAACTAGGTAGTAAATAAAATGAAGTGTTTAAAGAGCTAGGTTGGTAAAGTATTACCATTCAAGGGATAGCAAAGCAATGATTTAAGTAGATAGTATAATAGTTTACATTTTCCTCAGGTAAAACCTTTACGATTTGCCATATTAAAAGCATAAATTTTACATAAATGTCATAAATCTAAGATTAAGAATCAGATCTGTAATATAAATCCACTTCACAGGACAATTACTACTATTTTTTTTTTTTTGGTTTTTTTTTATTATTATTTTTTTTTGCGGTACGCGGGCCTCTCACTGTTGTGGCCTCTCCCGTTGTGGAGCACAGGCTCCGGACGCGCAGGCTCAGCGGCCATGGCTCACGGGCCCAGCCGCTCCGCGGCATGTGGGATCTTCCCGGACCGGGGCACGAACCTGCGTCCCCTGCATCGGCAGGCGGACTCCCAACCACTGCGCCACCAGGGAAGCCCTACTACTATTTTTTAAAATAATCATTTTCATAAATAAGAAAATCTCTAATGGGACTGATTTTTTCTGGACTTATGAGTAAATTATCTTGCAAACATATCTTTATGTGCCAATAAGCAAAGAAACTCTATTAAGCCTATGTTGTGAATTCAAACCAGTTATAAAGTTGTGAATTCAAAAGTCCCCACCCACCTAATAAGTAATTCAGTGGAGAAAAATACTTTCTTTTTTCACAAACGCAAACTTCAAATAGCTAATAAGCTCACATTAAACTTCATGAGGCTTGTTTCCATTACTGGTTGGCATATCTCCTAATTCTTCACAAATGTCAAAGATGACTTGGATAGAACTTTTTTTTGAAATTTGAAAACTCAGTATTTCCTTCTAGCATCTCTGAAAAACTAGCTCGTGAGGCAGAATGACGTATAGATCGAAACCAGGAGTTTTGAGAGTGCCCACCAGTAGAGTTTGAGCGCTGAACATAACCATGCTCAGTAAATCCAATTATAGTGCTTGTGGAAACAGAATGGGTAATCTGTTAGAACAGAAATAGGCAATTGAGAAGAGGACATGAATGTCTTAAAGACATTTTAGGTACTTCTTATTTATGTTGTCTATATAAAATTGACAAAACCATAAATAATATATATTAATTTTCCAAAATTCTTCTATAAAATCCAATTATCTTCGTTTGAAAAGCAATAATGTTTATATTAGTTATTATAAATGCAGGAAATAAACAAGGGATAGTACTTTGGCCCTCAGAAAGCTTACAGTCCGATTTTAGTAAATGAATGCTGAATTTTGTCAATTTCAATATATTTTTCATTAGTCAAATTTCTTTGCAAAAATTTATATCATCAACTAAGTACAATCTCATTGGAAGGTTAATCTTGATTAAAAGTTCTGTATAAACATACTCATATTAGCTGTAACCTTTGATATATATTAACTAACGACTTAACTAGCTTTATAAAAAAAGTAAGTTATTAAGCATTATGTGTCTTTTCTGTATAAACTTTAACAATTAAAGGTAACCATTTATAAAACACCAAAGCACTCCCTTTGTGTATATTAACTTTAGATTTTAACTTTAGATTCATTTTACAGTGAAATTGAAGATCTCTAATAAGCTGACAAAAGTCACACAGCTAGCAAATAGTAGAACCGGGATTTGAACATGTGAGTTCCAGAGTTCATGCTCTTAAACACTACTCAAAACTGCCTTTGAGTACAAAATCACATTATACGTGAGTGGGTGTGTATTTACTCTCTACAATAACACCATAGGTAAGTACTATTAACCTCTTTTCTCTCATCTGCAAAAATGGGGATAAGAGAGAATAGGAAACTTGCTGAAGGACATACAGCTAAGAAGTGACAGTCACTTGCTTTTCTTAACCTTAGTAGGTAACGTTAATAATTTTTACAAAGGACAGATACATCACTATTTAGTGACAGTAATAAATGTTAGAAATGCCCTTAATATTAATTAAATGACTAAAATTCTGACACTGTTGGGAATTTGGATTGCTCAGGAAACATTTAAAAATATATACATGAATTTAGAACCCATATCATCCTTTGATATTCAGCTTCAGAGATTATATATTCATCACAGAAATAATGAAAGAAATAAAACTCAGTCTCTGCTATATTACTGGAGCCAATCTATAAATAGAACCATCGCTACTTACATCAGTAAAGTGATAGGCCAGATTGAAACATGTTTCTTTCTTAGAGATCTACAACTCAATCCCAATAAAATTTCATATCAAACTACACATTAAGTAAGTCTCATTAAGTAAGTTCATTAAGTGAGGTTTTCTCAGTTACCTAACCCAGTAGAGGTCAGATATATCCAAAAAAATTGATGGAGATATTAATATTTCCATCTTTAAAAAGTTAACAAATTCCACATCAACTTCATAAATTTGGAGTCATTTAGCCCATTAAATCAAAATCACTTACTGCTAATGAAGATGTGCTAGACAGACGACTCATTACATGCTTATCATTGCTAGAAGGACTTCTTCCCTCCACTGAACTTTGGGATGTCATAAGAGCCCTTCGTAGAGCTCTTTTTGGAGTTTTGGAGAAAGAGAATGCTCTTGTAACCTAGAGTTAAATTACAATTAATTAAAAAACCTAGACAAATCTAACTGATTAGAACAATTATATGTAAACAAAGCCAAATTCTCACCAAGAGTTTTTCTATAAAAAGTATATAGCAAAATTAGAATCTCTTTGGACAAAGCAGTGAGAAAATGTAGTACATTGTAGATTACTCCATCTTGGTTTCATAGAGCACAGTCTAGCAGGAGAAAGTGGGAGGGAAAATTTGGCATGAGAGAAGAAACCTGGGTGTTATCTGATTATGCTACAATTTAGTTGTGAGATCTTTGATCCAAAGTCACTTAAACCTCAATTTCTTTAATTGAAAAAGTGTAGGAGTTTATTTGAATCATCATTGTTAACATGTTTATCTACTATACATCATACATGTTAAATACAGAGATACAATGATGATTAAAGTATAAAGCCTCCCCTCAAAGGCAAGGAAAACAACAACCAAAAGACTTATAAACCTAGCAAGTAGACTACAGTTGCAAAATTTTACCTGTAAAATTAGAAGTCTAGTTCTACTTTTAAAAAGCCCTATTACCAACATTCTTGTGTAGTCCTCAACAACTTCAATACTGTAAGGTAAGTAGCAAAGCTATCTTCATCATTAGAAGTCTGAAACGCACTCATGGTAAGGAACAGATCCCAGGTTTCCTGACTCTACTGTGTGCCCTTTGCTGAAAAATATCTGATTTTTAACATGAATGCACACGTATCTATACCTAAAACACCATCAGAAGTATCATAGTAACTATAATGGGAAGGATAACAAGTTGTTATAATTACTGTGCCAAAGAATTCACTGAGCTAAACTATTATCTCTGTAGGCCTTTTCCTAGAACCAAAAACAGCTTTATTTTATACACTACCTGATGTCTATGGCAATACTATTTTAATATACTCTGAAAAATACATTTTGGAGATATGCTGAATAATAATTTCACTAAGACTCACCTTTTTTGAAGTCTTTTTTATTGCTCTAGATGCTCTACTCAATGTACTGTCCATATCTTTCGTATTTACTTCAAAGGATTCTGGATCAGCAGTGTAAATAAGATTCTCCTGTTGAAAATTAATATTTTTATTTTAAAATAAACAAAATAAAAATACACAACTGTTCCTAAAGTCAAACCTTTAAGAACTTATATGCACACATAGGGAGCATATATAAATGAAGCTACTCAAGATTTCTGATGTGTTTGACATAATTTCTATTCTGAAATTTACTTAAGGCCTCAAAAAGTATATAACAGAAGAACAAAAACTGATTCAAAGAATCAGATTTTTATATTTTTTACAGTGTGTGTGTGTGTGTGTGTGTGTGTGTGTGTGAGTACAGAAATATTTTCTCTTCAACATGGCAAAAGTTCTCAAATGATAAGACTGACTCAGGGCTTTTAAAAAATTTACTATGCCTAATATTTGAAATGTAGGAAAAAGCTCAACTGAAGTTGCCTAATATCTGAATTTACAAGCATTTCTTAGTAACAAAATTTCACAACTGGGAAGAATTCTGTGGTTTAACACAGCATAAATCAGGATATAGTTAAATGTTTGCTGCCATCTTGTGGTTAATTTTACTTTATGAAATATCTTCATTAACTGTTTATATTTCAGTTCTAGAATTATTAGCCATCCTGTGGCTAGTAATTCAATAGATTTTATTTTAAGGAAATTTTTCCATTAACCGTTTACATTTCAGAATCATGGTTATAAATTTAGACAGGACTGCATAAGCCATGTAGTCGGACATTGTGATAAATGCAGGAGTAATCTCTATAATACACAATCACTATACTGCAGAAATCCATTTTATATATGGATATCTAGAACTATGAGAAAAAATTCTTCCTTATAATGAGCAGTTCTTTGGCTTTACAAAAAGCTGTCTGCATCTCTTTTCTCGTCAGCACTCTGTTGTTGTACACACTAGCACTTTATTTCCTTCATGAACCTTTTTGTGGAACAATCCTTTATTTATAACAACATATTCTTGGCCCACAGAAATTTTAAAAAAACAAACAAATCAAGGGCCAGAGGAGGTGGTGGAATAGAAGGAAGTGGAACTCACCTCCTCCCACAAATATACCACAAATACATCTACATGTGGAATAATTCTTACAGTATACCTGCTGAATGCCAGCAGAAGATCTCATAAAACCCAAATGCAAGAAGGATGACCACCTAACAGGGTAGGGTGAAAGAAAGAAAACCGGAATTGGGACGGGATCTGTGCCCCTGGGAGGGTGCTGTGAAAGAGGAAAGGTTCCCTCACCCCGGGAAGCCACTTTACCAGCAGGGGAGATCAGTGGGGAGAGAAAGGGAGCTTCAGAAGCTTGGAGGAGAGTGCTGCAGCCAGTGTGCAACAAGAAGAAATCGAGAGGCCTGCACAGAAGGCCCTGGCCATCTCACTGCAATCCCCAGCCTAGGACCCACATCTGCTGGTGCACACAGGGGCTGAGTGCTAAAACTTGGGCTTCAGAGGACAGACCTGAGAAGACCGGGATTGGCTGCATGAAGACAGCCTGAAGGGGCTGGAGTGTGGTCCACAGCTGCAAACAGGGGCATGCGCAAGAAGGAGCCCAGATCTGTCACTGACGTCCCATTGTTAACCTGCAAGCTCGGAGGGGCGGGGCCTGGAACAGCAGCCTCATTCTCAGTGTGCTCACAGAGGGTGAGGTTCTGCCTCTATGATTTGGGAACGAGTAAGCTTGGGTGAGCTGCCCACACATGGAGGCAGGGCTGAAACCCTAGCCTATGGCCAGCGGCTGCACAACTTCAGAAGCAGGGTTGAAATCTGAGTGTTCCAGCAGCTGTGATATCTGCGGATTTGCGCACCTGAGACAGCTTTGTAAACCCAGTGCCTGCAGGACATTGGAGTAGATTATTGGCGCTCCTGTGACTGGGGCAGGCCTGGCGATAGCAGGCTCTGCTGGCGCTCACACACAGAGGCGGGGCCAGGGTCTGGGCTGACTCAGTAGCTCCTACGGTGGGTCCAGGTGCTTGACCCAGTCCAGATGCGTGACCATGGCGTACCAGTGCTTGAACTCAGTGGTTCCATGTCAAAAGATCTATGCTAGTGGCTTTGTGAGCATAGCACCTGAGGGATACCCAAGCTTACTGCCTGAATTCCCATGGTTGAGCTGGGACTGAGGGCAGTGCCAAAGACAGTATACGTTGGTGAGCCAACATGACAGGTAACAGGTAAAACCACAGAGCGACTTCCCAGTAGACAGCTTCTGCAAAGAAATAATCAGGGGCTCCTCTCCCAGCAGGGGCATTCAAGCCCAACTACCTCACACCAGTCCAGAAACAGAGCTGGTGGCATCTACTCCAACAACTGGGGTGCAGACCCTGCCCCTGACAGAGCTGTGAAAACCAAAGAGCAAAGAGGAGGCCACGCTCAACATCAGTGCAGGCTCTGGTCATCACGGTAACAATCATACTCCCTATCAAGGGGATAATGGCTAACACACACTAAAGAAAAATATGGCAGACATCCATAATAAAAACAGCCCCTGCACAAAAATATTACACTCATGAGGGCTACACAGGGAAACAAAAAACAGCCCTTCAAGACTACAGCAGATAACTATTTCTCCTTAATTCACAGAGTCAGAGAAATAGAAGTAAAATGAAGCAGAGGAAACACTCCCAATTAAAAGACCAAGAGATTTCCCTGAAAGAACAATGAAACAGACATCTGCAGTCTAGTAGATCCCGAGTCCAAAAAGGAGGTAAGGAAAATACTGAAGTAATTAAGCAAGTCTATCAATAGAAATGCACATTACTGTAAAAAGGAACTAAGAACTATAAAAAGGAGGCAATTAAATTAGAAAACTCATTTGCCAAAACAAAAGCTGAACTTGAGGCAATCGACAACAAACTGGATAATGCAAAAGAACTTATAAGTGATCTGGAAAATAGAATAATGGAAATCACCCAATCAGAACAGCAGACAGAAATACAAATGAAAAAAAAAAAAAAGGAAAGCAATAAACGAGACCTATGGGATAATATAAAGTATCCAGATCTATGCATAATCAGGATTCCAGAAGGAAAACAAAGAGAAAAGAGGATCAAAAATTTATTTGGGGCTTCCCTCGTGGCGCAGTGGTTGAGAGTCTGCCTGCTGATGCAGGGGACATGGGTTCGTGCCCCGGTCTGGGAAGATCCAACATGCCACAGAGCGGCTAGGCCTGTGAGCCATGGCCGCTGAGCCTGCGCATCCGGAGCCTGTGCTCCGCAACGGGAGAGGCCACAACAGTGAGAGGCCTGCGTACTGCAAAAAAAAAAGAAAAATTTATTTGAAGAAATTATGGCTGATGACTTCCCAAATATAAAGAAGGAAACAGATACTCAGGTACAGGAAGCACAGAGGGCCCCAAACAAGAAGAACCCAAACAGACCTACACCAAGACATATTATAATTAAAATGGCAAAAGTTAAAAGATATAAAGAGGATTCCAAAGGCAGCAAGAGAAAAACAAAGCGTTAATTACAAGGGAAACCACATAAGGCTATCAGCTGATTTCTCTACAGAAACACTGAAGACCAGAAGGGAGTGGCAAGATATATTCAAAGTCTTGAAAGGGAAGAAGCTGCAACCCAGGATACTCTAGCCAGCAAGATTATCACTTAGGATAGGAGAGATAAAGAATTTCTCAGACAAGCAAAAACTGAAAGAATACAGCAATATTAAACCTATCCTAATAGGAGTATTGAAAGTTCTTCTTTAAATAGAAAAGAAGCAGGAATCTAGAGGAAAGAGAAATATCTCAACTGGAAAGTAAATCACTTAAATAAGCCAGTATACAGATTAAAAAAATAAATTTGTGAAAGCAATGATAACTACAATGAACACCAAAAGAATAAACATGAAGATGTAAAAGAGGACAGCAAAATCATAAAGTGTGGGGGAAGAGAGTATGAAAAATATACAACAGATTCACAAAAACCAAAAAGAACAGAACAAAAGCGTAATACAAAAGAAAACCATCAAACTACAAAATGAAAAACAAGGAAACAAAGAAGAAATACGAAATCAACTGGAAAACAAGATTTAAAATGGCAATAAATACATATCTACCAATAATTACCTAAAATGTCAATGGACTAAATTCTCTAATAAAAAGACATAGAGTGGAAGAGTGAATAAAAAAACAGGAGCTTACAATATGCTGCCTACAAGGGACCCACTTTAGGGCAAAGGACACACATAGATTCAAAGTGATGAGATGGAAAAAGATATTTCATGCAAACAGAAATGACAAGAAAGTGGGTCTAGCAATACTCCTATGAGACAAAACGGACTCTAAAACTAATGTAACAAAGATAAAAAAGGACACTCTATAATGATAAAAGGGTCAATACAAGAAGAGGCTACTACACTCGTTAACATAACACTTGTTAACATATGCAGTATAGGAGCACCTAAATACAAAAAGCAAATGGTAACAGACATAAAAAGAGAAAATGACAGGAATACAATAGTAAGAGACTTTAACACCTCCCTCACACCAATGGACAGATCTTCCAGATATAAAAATCAGTAAGGCAAGAGAGATCCTAAATGATACAATAGAACAGTTAGACTTAATTGATATTTTCAGGACATTACATCCAAAAAAACCAGAATACACATTCTTTTTAAGTGCACATGGAATAATCTCTAGGACAAACCACATACTAGGACAAAAAACAAGCCTGAACAAATTTAAGATAGAAATTATTTCAAGCATCTTTTCTGACCACAAAGGCATGAAACTACAAATCAACCAGAAAAAGAGAAATGAGAAAAAAATGATTATATGGAGACTAAAAAACATGCTACAAAAACCAATGGGTTGATGATGCAATCAAAGAGGAAATCAGAAGATACCTTGAAACATATGACATAAAAACACAACCATACAAAATCTACGGCATGCAGCAAAAGAAGGTCTTATAAGGAAGGAAATAATAAAGATCAGAGAGAAAATACATAAAATATAGATTAAAAAACAATAGAAAAGAGCTGGTTCTTTGAAATGGTAAACAAAATCAACAAACCTCTCTTCAGGCTCATCAAGAACAGAGGACCCAAATAAACAAAATAAGCAATGAAAGAGGAGAAATAACAACCAGGACAACAGAAATTAAAAAAAACATAAGACAATACTATGAACAATTATATGAAAACAAATTCAACAACCTAAAAAAAATGTACAATTTTCTAGAAACATACAACCCACCAAAACTGAATGAAGAAGAAAGAAAATTTGAACAGACCATTCACTAGAAGTGAAATACAATATGTAATGAAAAAACTCCCTGCAAACCGAAGTCAGGACCAGATGGCTTCACTGGGGAATTCTGCCAAGCATACAAAGAAGAACTTATAAAAACCCTCCCCAAACTCTTCCACCAAAAGATTGAAAAGGGAACACTCCCAAAGGCATTCTAGAAAGCCACCATCACCCTGATACCAAAACCAAAAACAATACCAAAAAAGAAAATTAAAGGCCAATATCTTTGATGAATATAAATGCAAAAATTCTCAACAAAATATTAGCAAACCAAATCCAACAACACATAAAAACAAGATCATATACCACAATCAAGTTGGATTCATCCCAGGGTCACAAAGATGGTTCAACATACAAATATCAATCAGTGTGATAACACCACATCAACAAAATAAAAGACAAAAAACACATGATCATCTCAATAGATGCAGGAAAAGCATCTGATAAAATTCAATGTCCATTCATGATAAAAACTCTTACCAAAACGGGTATAGAGGGAACATATTGCAACATAATAAAAGCTGTTTTGACAAACCCCCAGCCAAGATAATACTCAATGGTGAAAAGCTGAAAGTCTCCCCGCTAAAATCCGGAACAAGACAAGGGTGCCCACTCTCACCACTTCTATTCAATATAGGATTGGAAGTCCGAGCCACAGCAATGGACAAGAAAAAGGAATAAAAGCTATCAAAATTGGAAAAGAGGTAAAACTGTCATTACATGCAGATGACGTGACACTAAATATAGAAAACCCTATAGACTCCACACAAAAACTATTAGAACTGATAAATTCAGCAAGGTAATGATACAAGATTAACATACAGAAATCTGTTGTATTTCTTTACACTAACAATGAAATATCAGAAAGTTAAAAAAAAAAAAGAAAAAATCCCTTCTAAAACCACATCATACACACACAAAATATTTAGGAATAAACCTGACCAAGGAGGTGAAAGATTTATATGCTGAGAACACTAGAAAATTGTTAAAGGAAACTGAAGATGATTCAAAGAAATGAAATCATGCTCTTGATTGGAAGAATTAATATTGTTTAAAGGGCCATACTACCCAAAGCAATCTACAGATTTAATGCAATCCCTATCAAGTTACTCATGACATTTTTCACAGAACTAAAACAAAGTTCTCATATTTATATGGAACCACTAAAAAAACAGAATTACCAAAGCAATCCTGAGGAAAAATAACAAGGCTGGAGGCATAACCCTCTCAGACTTCAGAGAATACTACAAAGCTACAGTAATCAAAACTGTGTTGCATTGGCCCCCAAACAGACATATGGATCAATGGAACAGAAAGAGAGCCCAGAGCCCAGAAGTAAACCAACATACCTAGAGTCAATTAATCTTTGACAAAGGAGGCAAGAATATACAATGGAGAAAAGACACTCTCTTCAGCAACTGGTGCTGGGAAAGCTGGACAGCTGTATGTAAATCAATGAAGTGAGAAGACACCCTCACGCCATACATAAAAATAAACTCAAAATGGTAAAGACTTAAATATAAGACGCAACACGATAAAACTCCTAGAAGAGAACATAGGCAAAACATGCTGACATAAATTGTACCAATGTTTTCTTAGGTCAGTCCCCCAAGGCAATAGAAATAAAGGCAAAAATAAACAAATTGGACCTAATCAAACTTATAAGCTTTTGCACAGGAAGGAAACCATATAAAGAAAAGACAGCCTACGGAAGGAAGGGGAGAAAATATTTGCAAACGATTCAATCAACAAGGGATTAACTTCCAAAATATACAAATAGTTCACACAACTCTATAACAAGAAAACAACCCAATCAATAACTGGGCAGAAGACCTAAATAAACATTTCTCCAAAGAAGACATACAGATGGCCAAGAGGCACATGGGAAGATGCTCAACATCACTAATTATTAGAGAAATGAAAATCAAACCTACAATGAGGTACCCCTCACACCAGTCAGAATGGCCATCATTAAAAAGTCTACAAATAACAAATCCCAGAGAGGGTGTGGAGAAAAAAGGAACCCTCCTACACTGTTGGTTGGAATGTAAACTGGTGCAGCCACTATGAAAACAGTATGGAGGTTCCTTAAAAAAACTAAAAATAGAGTTGTCGTATGACCTAGGAATCCCACTCCTGGGCATATATCCAGAGAAAACTATAATTCAAAAAGATACATGCACCCCAATGTCCACAGCAGCACAATTTACAATTGCTGAGACATGGAAGCAACCTAAATGTCCACTGACAGATGAATGGATAAAGAAGATGTGGTATATATACAAAATGGAATAGGGACTTCTCTGGTGGTGAGCCACAACTACTGAAGCCCACGTGCCTAGAGTCCATGCTCTGCAACAAGAAGTCACCACAATGAGAAGCCTGCGCACAGCAACGAAGAGTAGCCCCCATTTGCCACAGCTAGGAAAAAAGCCCGTGCGCAGCAGCAAAGATCCAATGCAGCCCAAAATAAATAAATAAATAATTTAAAAAGAAAGAAAAGTTTAAAAAAATGGACTGACTACCCCTCAGCCATGAAAAAGAATGAAAGTATGCCATGCAGCAACATGGATGGACCTAGAGATTATCATACTAAATGAAGTAAATCACAAAGAGAAAGACAAATACCATATGATATCACTTATATGTAGAATCTAAAATATGACATAAATGAACTTATTTACGAAAAAGAAACAGACTCACAGACATAGAAAATGTGAAAACTTATGGTTATCAAAGGGGAATGGGGGTGGGAGAGGGATAAATTAGGAGTCTGGGATTAGCAGATACAAACTACTATATATAAAATGGATAAACAACAAGGTCCTACTGTATAGCACAGGGAACTATATTCAGTATCCTATAATAAACCATAATGAAAAAGAATATGTGTATATATACATGTATAACTGAATTACTTTGCTGTACACCAGAAACTAACACAATGCTGTAAATCAACTATACTTCAATTAAAAAACATGAAATTTAAAAGTCTGTTAATTTTTCTAAACAGTTAGGTAAATACCTTTAATAAAGTATTTACTTTATAAGCAATAATAATTATACCTCAATGTCTTTGAAGATCAGATTTAACTATAATAAACTGAATGTTTTATTCCCACAGGAAATGTCCAAGTACTATACTGAAAAAGGTTATCTGTCTATACATTCTCCTCCATCTATGTCATTTGTGCAAAGATGAAGGGATCTATATCTATCACATGTCTCTCCCATATATAATGAAGAAATCAAATTATCCTTTTTTTTTTTTTTTGCGGTATGTGGGCCTCTCACTGTTGTGGCCTCTCCCGTTTGTGGAGCACAGGCTCCGGACGCGCAGACTCAGCGGCCATGGCTCACGGGCCCAGCCGCTCTGCGGCATGTGGGATCCTCCTGGACCGGGGCACGAACCCGTGTCCCCTGCATCGGCAGGCGGACTCTCAACCACTGCGCCACCAGGGAAGCCCCCAAATTATCTTTTAATGGACCTAGATTTCATTCAAGATCTACTACAAGCTACCTGATTTCTGGTGAGTCATTTAACTTCAAGAATTTGATTTTCTCATATATCTTCACTTTAATCTGTACAGGATAAAAATGATTATATATTCATAATGACATATGATTTTAAGAGATTGGACTAAGAAAACTGCATTGGCAACTTGCCTGACAGGCAAAGCAACTTGCTACAACTCACCTATTGCTCTCAATAAGATAAAAGAACAATAGAACAAAATACTCTCTCACAGATAGCCAAGTCAAAGAGCACTAATGAAAATACATTATAAGTCCCAAAAGCTTCACTACAGCAGAGCCAAAGGAGCTGTAAGGCTATGAGGCCTTATATATGAGGTCCTGTCTGTAAGCTAGGGACTCAAAGAAATGTTTCATGTGTCTATATTTTTTAAAATTTCCTCCAAAACAACTTTTAAATCAGTTTTCCTCAATAAATACAACACAAACTCTCCTTCATCCATAATTAACAAGTCATTAGAAACGTACACGTTTAGTCTGTACATTACCACGGAGTTTAAACTTTCATTATAATAGTGGTTTAAGAACTTACAGCATCTGCTTTACAAATGGTGTTGGCCACATGTCGACATAGCATCTTTAGCCAGTTTTCTTTTGGAGGTTCCTCTGATGTCAACTGGAAACTGAGCAGCACATTTGCCTGCTCTGTAGGTGGCCTCACAAGCAAGGCAAAAGCATTATGGCAATCTAGGGTTCCAGAATAATCACAAACATTAAATGTTACTCCTTGGAAAATGACAGACTGAACACAAGTTCCCTCAGAGCAATGAAATTCCAAAAAATTATCTCTTCTCTACCTTTTCTGTCCCCTCTGCTTTTTTTTTTTTTTTTTGCGTTACACGGGCCTCTCTCACTGATGCGGCCTCTCCCGTTGCGGAGCATAGGCTCTGGACACACAGGCTCAGCGGCCATGGCTCACGGGCCTAGCCGCTCCACGGCACGTGGGATCTTCCCAGACCGGGGCACAAACCTGTGTGCCCTGCATCGGCTGGCGGACTCTCAACCACTGTGCCACCAGGGAAGCCCTCCCCTCTGTTCTTAACTGGACAAAGAATAGCATCATATTAAGTTGAAACACTGGAAAGAATTATAATAGTATGTACCAAGTGAGGAACCAACAATGATATTGTTAAGTAAGCAGTATTTTCCATGACATTTAATATTTTATTTGATGGAGTTTTTAAAAATTAGATTATATCATTTCTTAGAATTCTAGAATTTAAGTTTTAAAATAAAGTGACATTGTAAGAATAATTCAATCTATTTAAATCAAGTTCAAATAAATACTCAAATATTAAAATTGTTACAAAATGTTTTATGACCAAGATGCTAAAACAGAACCTATTTTAAACAATGAAGTCTTCCATAATTATAATCCAAAAATATAGAGATCATTTAAGTGAATGTTCTATGTAACCTTAATAAATCCAGAATTTGACAACTGAGTAAAGATAGCAATATAAGTTGCCATTCAAGTTTTTTTTTTTATTGTTTCTCATAAATTAAAAGCTTTCCATCATTTGAGGATGGGATCAGTAATGGAACCAGTTTACACTGTAAAAATATATGCCTAAACAAGCAAAATATTGCCAGGCACGCATATCACTAGGTACCATTTTAAAAATTGATACTGTGCCAGTAGGTATAAACTTTTCCCAATTTCAGGCCTTCAAAGAATCCTCTCTAACACTCCCAAAGTATAGAGTAAAAGCTTTCCTTAATACACATTTGAGCCCATGTTGAGTCTACCATAGTTACTTTGGGTGTACTTACTCATGCACATCTATTCCTGGTCATATCCTAAGTGTATCCCTAACAATACAGCCATTGGCAACAGGTAAGGTTATAAGCTGTGGGGCACAGGTAATAGACTACAATTGCCTTTGGATTCTGAAGGAATAAAAATAAGTTTTGGTGTGGGAATGGGCACTATTTTGACATGTAACCACTTAAAAGCTCTCTGTCCCTTAAGAGATGAAGATATCCTTCAGACTGAGATAGTATTTTCATTTGAAAAAAATTAAAAATCTCCCAGTTTCTAGAGATGTAGTTGAAGTATAAGAACAATTACTTTGCCAGAACTAACCAACAATATTTAAAGATAATTTACCAGCTTAAAAAATATATATAAGGGAATCAAACTTTCAATGAATATAAACTTTTTATCTAGCCAATAGTTTATCCAATGACCATACCTTCTGTCTCTCGTATGTCTAGCACCTTCTTAATCTGAGAAAGAGGCATTAGATGAATATGCTTAAGAGAAGCTGGGGGTCTGGTCTGGCCATGAGGACTCCTAAAAGTGCCAATAACCTTGTGTCGTTTTCTTGCTATCTGATTATAGAAGAAAAAAAAAAGTCATCGTCAGTAACATAAAAACAAACACCAAATGCTTAAAAGTAAACTGGCACTAATCACATAAATCTATATGCAGCTTATTTAACTACCAGTCATTCTAAAATTACTATCTGATAAGAAGCATAGTTACTATGTGACAAATTCATACATGTAACTATGTAGCAGAAATGCTCATGTTTATATGAGAAGAGCTCAAAAATCAGGAAAACAGGATATATGGAAAAGATCCCAGAGGTATGAAAGAACTTAGAAGCACTGTGAGCAGTAACAGGATCAAAGGATGAAGGAACCTTCAATAAAAGGCCTTGAATTCGGAAAGGGGAATAGTTGCTTTGGGATTGCTGCCTTGGGTTCAAAAGATAATTGATTTCAGTGTAAGAGCAGAATACACAATTATCTCAGATGCTTTGCAAGGCACTGAGGATAAAGGAGTGAATAATACAGAAATGGTTCTGGCTCTCATGATACCTACATACTATTGAAAAATAGGAAAATTAAAGTAACTAAATAATACATTAAAAATTGATACAAATTATAAAGTCAAGGTGCTATGTTAAGATATAACTTTACCTAAACTGGGAACTCATGCAAAGGAGGACATAGGTAAAGTAATGCTGGAGAAGACAAGAGCAAAATCAGAAAGGACCCTGTGACTCATGATGTATTTGAGTTCTGTAAATTTTATAAGGTCTTTAAATTTATTGTTTTCATTTCCATGAAATCCTAGTATATTATTTTGCCTTTTTAAAAGAACATTTCTTTGGGGGTTATAATCATCAACTGAAAGACATTAACACAAAACGATTTAGATTAAGCTACTTAATGAATTGAGATTGACTGGTCATCATCATGAATATGACAAAGTAAGGCTGAAAAATGTACTGTTGATAGCTTGTGTTGGCTAATGAGAAAAGATCAAAAGGCAGTCAGTATCATATTCACATTGATGCAGAAATATGACGCAGATCTATGATACATATCAAATATTAAAGGCCCATTTATATTAATATATGAAAAAAGCAGATTCTTTAAATAATTATTTCCACTGTACTATTTGAATATACTTTTAATTTAGCTAAGCAAAATAAATAATATTAAGGTTCATTTTTAAAAAGGAAAAACAATGACAAGTGCTAATATTGATGATACAAATGCTAGTCCATCAAGGTAAAAACTCAAAATACAGATACATCACCTGTCATGTTTAAGTGAAGTCAGTTTAGATCTTATCTATTTTAAATGCTTCTAACTTTTACCATTCTCTTCATTCCAAATTTGCTCAAAGCTTTGTTTTCTTTTTCAACAAACAAGCTAAAGAATAAAAGTTTATAAAATCTAAAAGTCCAAATTATAAATTTGGAGTTCAAATTTAATGTTAGAAATAGAAATGTTACAGTTAATGTGATTCTGACATGGAGACTATGACAGAGTAGAACAAAAAGTCACTGAATTCAGGAAGATGAAGGAAGTGAGAAGCCAGGGTATCAGATAACAGACTTGGAGGCTACAAGGAATGACCAATGGCAGGAATTAAAATGGAAGGTAAGTCAATGTGCCAGTTGTAGTAGACTTCACAAAAATTGAAGGGGATGTAAAATAAAAAAATTAAAAGTAAGCCTCAACTATCTAAGGATTAAGAGGATAAAGACCAGAATGGATTAGCAAAGGAAGCACAGATAACCTAACCTATTAGATGAATGGAGCCAGCTGACCTATGAACGTCAACAGGAAAAACTTACAAAAGCTTTAATGAAAGCAAAAAAACAGAACTACTAAGCAGCTACATGGTACTCAGGGAGCATGATACTGCAGATTCAAATAAAATATGATCAAAAATTGACTCTACCTAGTCCCTGTTCTCAAAAGCAGAGCAGGCTAAAGCTCTCACTACAGGGGAGACAAGTAGTTCAGAATTATCTGCCTCATGATTTTTATAACTTTCTCAGTTCAGGGTAAAGTCAATTGTGTACAGTACTTTCACTGCCTTTACTTTTGTGTTTTGTGACAGTACTGACCAAATGAAAATACCACTTTTCACTAACCTCACAACAACAAAACTCTTTAACACAAGTAAATTTTTGGTGAGATTTTATTGTACCTGTAACTGTACCTGGCTTGTTCTCTAAGATTCCGTTGTATTTATACTTTAAAAACTAATGTGCAGGAGACCCTCAAGATGGCGGAGGAGTAAGACACGGAGATCATCTTCCTCCCCACAAATACATCAGAAATACATCTGCATGTGGAACAACTCCTACAGAACACCTACCGAACGCTGGCAGAAGACCTCAGACAAAAGGCAAGAAACGTACCTGGTTAGGGCAAAAGAAAAAAGAATAAACAGAGACAAAAGGATAGGGACGGGACCTGCACCAGTGGGAGGGAGCCGTGAAGGAGGAAAGGTTTCCACACATTAGGAAGCCCGTTCACTGGTGGAGACAGGGGGGTGGGCGGGGGGAAGCTTCAACGCCATGGAGGAGAGCGCAGCAACAGGGGTGCGGAGGGCAAAGTGGAGAGATTCCCGCAAGAGGATCGGTGCCGCCCGGCACTCACCAGCCCAAGAGGCTTGTCTACTCACCCGCCGGGGCGGGCGGGGGCTGGGAGCTGAGGCTCGGGCTTCAGTCAGATCCCAGGGAGAGGAATGGGGTTGGCAGAGTGAACACACCCTGAAGGGGCTAGTGCGCCGCAGCTAGTCGGGAGGGAGTCCGGGAAAAAGTCTGGAGCTGCCGAAGAGGCAAGAAATCATTGTTTTGGGGTGCATGAGGAGAGGGTTTTCAGAGCACCGCCTAAATGAGCTCCAGAGACTGGTGCAAGTCGCGGCTATCAGCACGGACGCCAGAGACGGGAATGAGACGCTAAGGCTGCTTCTGCAGCCACCAAGAAGCCTGTGTGCAAGCACAGGTCACTACTCACACCTCCCCTCCCAGGAGCCTGTGCAGCCCGCCACTGCCAGGGTCCCGTGATCCAGGGACAACTTCCCCGGGAGAACACATGGCATGCCTCAGGCTGTTGCAACGTCATGTGGGCCTCTGCCGCTGCAGGCTCGCCCCACGTTCCGGACCCCTCCCTCCCCCCGGCCTGAGTGAGCCAGAGCCCCCTAATCAGCTGCTCCTTTAACCCCGTCCTGTCTGGGTGGGAACAGACGTGCTCAGGCGACCTACACGCAGAGTCGGGGCCAAATCCAAAGCTGAACCTCAGGAGCTGTGGGAACAAAGAAGAGAAAGGAAATCTCTCCCAGCAGCTTCAGGAGCAGCAGATGAAATCTCCACAGTCAACCTGATGTACCCTGCATCTGTGGAATACCTGAATAGACAATGAATCATCCCAAATTGAGATGGACTTTGGGAGCAACTGTAGACTTGGGGTTTGCTTTCTGCATCTCATTTGTGTCTGGTCTTATGTTTATCTTACTTTAGTATTTAGAGTTTATTATCATTGGTAGATTTGTTTATTGCTTTGGTTGCTCTCTTCCTATTTTTTTTTTTTTAATACATAGATTTTTTCCCCCTTTTTCTCTTTTTGTGAATGTGTATGTGTGTGCTTCTTTGTGTGATTCTGTCTGTATAGTGTTGCTTTTACCATTTGTCCTAAGGCTCTGTCTGCCTGCTTTTTTTTTTTTGGTATAGTTTTTGGCGCTTGTTATCATTGGTGGATTTGTTTTTTGCTTTGGTCCTTCTCTTCTTTCTTTCTTTTCTTTTTTTTAATTACTTCTTATTTCTTTTATTTTTAATAATGTTTTTATTTTTTATTTTAATAACTTTCTTTTCTTTTTCTTTCTTTCTTTATGTCTTTTTTTCTCCCTTTTCTTCTGAGTCATGTGGCTAACGGGTCTTGGTACTCCAGCCAGGTGTTAGGCCTGTGCCTCTGATGTGGGGGAGCCAAGTTCAGGATACTGGTCTACCAGAGAACTCCTGACTCCATGTAATATCAAACGGCGAAAGCTCTCCCAGAGATCTGCATCTCAATGCTAAGACCCAGCTCCACTCAACGACGAGCAAGCTACAGTGCTCGATACCTTATGCCAAACAACTAACAAGACAGGAACACAATGCTACCCATGAGCAGAGAGGCTGCCAAAAATCATAAGGTGAAAGACACCACAAAACACACCACCGGATGCGGTCATGTCCACCAGAAAGACAAGATCCAGCCTCATCCACCAGAACACAGGCACTAGTCCCCTCCACCAGGAAGCCTACACAACCCACTGAACCAACCTTAGCCACTGGGGGCAGACACCAAAAACAATGGGAACTATGAACCTGCAGCCTGCGAAAAGTAAACCCCAAACACAGTAAGTTAAGAAAAATGAGAAGACAGAGAAACACACAGCAGATGAAGGAGCAAGGTTAAAACCCACCAGACCAAACAAATGAAGAGGAAATAGGCAGTGTACCTGAAAATGGATTCAGAGTAATGATAGTAAAGATGATCCAAAATCTTGGAAACAGAATGGAGGAAATACAAGAAGTGTTTAACACAGAACTAGAAGAACTAAAGAGCAAACAAACAATGATGAACAGCACAATAAATGAAATTAAAAATTCTCTAGAAGGAATCAATAGCAGAATAACTGAGAAAGAAGAATGGATAAGTGACCTGGAAGATACCATAGTGGAAATAACTACCGCAGAGCAGAATAAAGAAAAAAAGAATGAAAAGAACCGAGGACAGTCTCAGAGACCTCTGGGACAACACTAAACACACCAACATTCGAATTATAGGGGTCCTAGAAAATGAAGAGAAAAAGAAAAGGACTGAGAAAATATTTGAAGGGATTATAGTTGAAAACTTCCCTAATATGGGAAAGGAAATAGTCAATCAAATCCAGGAAGCAAAGAGAGTCCCATACAGGATAAATCCAAGGAGAAACACGCCAAGACACAAATTAATCAAACTACTAAAAATTAAATATAAAGAAAAAATATTAAAAGCAGCAAGGGAAAAACAACAAATAACATACAAGGGACTCCCCATAAGGTTAACAGCTGATCCTTCAGCAGAAACTCTGCAAGCCAGAAGGGAGTAGCAGGGCATATTTAAAGTGATGAAAGGGAAAAACTTACAACCAAGATTACTCTACCCAGCAAGGATCTCATTCAGATTCGATGGAGAAATTAAAACCTTTACAGACAAGCAAAAGCTAAGAGAATTCGGCACCACCAAACCAGCTTTACAACAAATGCTAGAGGAACTTCTCTAGGCAGGAAAAACAAAAGAAGGAAAAGACCTACAATAACAAACCCCAAACAATTAAGAAAATGGTAATAGGAACATACATATCAATAACTACCTTAAATGTAAATGGATTAAGTGTTCCAACTAAAAGACACAGACTGGGTGAATGGATACAAAATCAAGACCCATACATATGCTGTCTACAAGAGGCCCACTCCAGACCTAGGGACACATACAGACTGAAAGTGAAGGGATGGAAAAAGATATTCCATGCAAAAGGAAATCAAAAGAAAGCTGGAGGGCTTCCCTGCTGGCGCAGTGGCTGGGAGTCTGCCTGCCGATGCAGGGGATACGGGTTCGTGCCCTGGTCCGGGAGGGTCCCACGTGCCGTGGAGTGGCTGGGCCCGTGAGCCGTGGCCGCTGGGCCCGCGCGACTGGAGCCTGTGCTCTGCGACGGGAGAGGGTGCAGCGGTGAGAGGCCCACGTACCACAAAAAAAAAAAAAAAAAAAAAAAAAAAAAAAAAAAAAAAAAAAAAGCTGGAGTAGCAATTCTCATATTCAGACAAAATAGACTTTAAAACAAAGACTATTACAAGAGACAAAGATGGACACTACATAATGATCAAGGAATCAATCTAAGAATATATAACAATCGTAAATATTTATGCATCCAACATAGGAGCACATAAGGCAAAAGCTAACAGCCATAAAAGGAGAAATCGACAGTAACAAATTCATAGTAGGGGACTTTAACACCCCACTTTCACCAATGGACAGATCATCCAAAATGAAAATAAATAAGGAAACACAAGCTTTTAATGACACATTTAACAAGATGGACTTAATTGATATTTATAGGACATTCCATCCAAAAACAACAGAATACACTTTCTTCTCAAGTGCTTATAGAACATTCCGCAGGAGAGATCATATCTTGGGTCACAAATCAATATTTGGTAAATTTAAGAAAACTAAAATCGTATCAAGTATCTTTTCCAACCACAATGCTATCAGACTAGATATTAATTACAGGAAAAAATTCTGTAAAAAATACAAACACATGGAGGCTAAACAGTACACTAGTAAAGAACCAAGAGATCATTGAAGAAATCAAAGAGGAAATCAAAAAATACCTAGAAACAAATGACAAGGAAAACACGATGACCCAAAACCCATGGGATGCAGCAGAAGCAGTTCTAAGAGGGAACTTTATAGCAATACAATCCTATTTCAAGAAACAAGAAACATCTCAAATAAACAACCTAACCTTACACCTAAAGCAATTAGAGAAAGAAGAACAAAAAAACCCCAAAGTTAGCAGAAGGAAAGAAGTCATAAAGATCAGATCAGAAATAAATGAAAAAGAAATGAAGGAAACAATAGCAAAGGTCAATAAAACTAAAAGCTGGTTCTTTGAGAAAATAAACCATATTGATAAACCATTAGTCAGACTCATCAAGAAAAAAAAGGGAGAAGACTCAAATCAATAGAATTAGAGGGCTTCCCTGGTGGCACAGTGGTTGGGAGTCCGCCTGCCGATGCAGGGGATGCAGGTTCGCGCCCCGGTCCGGGAGGATCCCACATGCCGCAGAGTGGCTGGGCCCGTAAGCCATGGCCGCTGAGCCTGCGCGTCTGGAGCCTGTGCTCTGCAACGGGAGAGGCCACAGCAGTGAGAGGCCCACGTACCGCAAAAAAAAATAGAATTAGAAAAGAAATAGGAAAAGTAACAACTGACAATGCAGAAAATACAAAGGATTATGAGAGACTACTGCAAGCAACTATATGCCAATAAAATGGACAACCTGGAAGAAATGGACAAATTCTTAGAAATGCATAACCTTCCGAGACTGAACCAGGAAGAAACAGAAAATATGAACAGCCCAATCACAAGCACTGCATTTGAAACTATGATTAAAAATATTCCAACAAACAAAAGCCCAGGATCAGATGGCTTCACAGGTGAATTCTATCAAACATTTAGAGAGGAGCTAACACCTATCCTTCTCAAACTCTTCCAAAATATAGCAGAGGGAGGAACACTCCCAAACTCATTCTACGAGGCCACCACCACCATGATACCAAAACTAGACAAAGATGTCACAAAGAAAGAAAACTACAGGCCAATATCACTGATGAACATAGATGCAAAATTCCTCAACAAAATACTAGCAAACAGAATCCAACAGCACATTAAAAGGATCATACACCATAATCAAGTGGGGTTTATCCCAGGAATGCAAGGATTCTTCAATACACACAAATGCCCATTGACAGATGAATGGATGAAGAAGATGTGGTACATATATACAATGGAATATTACTCAGCCATAAAAAGGAACAAAATTGGGTCATTTGTAGAGACGTGGATGGATCTAGAGACTGTCATACAGAGTGAAGTAAGTCAGAAAGAGAAAAATATTGTATATTAATGCATATATGTGGAGCCTAGAAAAATGGTACAGATGAACGAGTTTGCAGTGCAGAAATAGAGACACAAATGTAGAGAAGAAACGTTATGGACACCAAGGGGGAGAGTGGTGGTGTGATGAATTGAGAGACTGGGATTGACATATATATACTAATATGTATCAAATGGATAACTAATAAGAACCTACTGTATAGGGCTTCCCTGGAGGCGCAGTGGTTGAGAGTCCGCCTGCTGATGCAGGGGACACGGGTTCGAGCCCCGGTCCGGGAAGATCCCACATGCCGTGGCGCGGCTGGGCCCGCGAGCCATGGCTGCTGGGCCTGCGCGTCCGGAGCCTATGCTCCGCGATGGGAGAGGCCACAACAGTGAGAGGCCCGAGTACCGCAAAAAAAAAAAAAAAAAAAAAAAAAGAACCTACTGTATGAAAAACAAAAATTGAAAAATTAAAAAAAAAAAAACAAAAACCCCCAAAAAACAAAGAGTCATATAGCACAATGTTCATTTCAGCTCTATTTATAACAGCCAGGATATGGAAGCAACCTAAGTGTCTGTCCATCAACAGATGAATGGATAAAGAAGATGTGGCACATATATACAACGGAATATTACTCGGCCATAAAAAGAACAAAACTGAGTTATTTGTAGTGAGGTGGATGGACCTAGAGTCTGTCATACAGAGTGAAGTTAAGTCAGAAAGAGCAAAACAAATAGCATATGGTAACACATATATATGGAATACAAAAAAAAAAGGTTCTGAAGAACCTAAATGCAGGACAGAAATAAAGAGGCAGACGTAGAGAATTGTCTTGAGGACACGGGAAGGGGGAAGGGTAAGCTGGGACGAAGTGAGAGACTGGCATGGACATATATACACTACCAAATGTAAAACAGAGAGCTAGTGGGAAGAAGCCACATAGCATAGGGAGGTCAGCTTGGTGCTTTGTGACCACCTAGTGGGGTGGGATAGGGATGGTGGGAGGGAGACGCAAGCGGGAGGAGATATCGGGATATATGTATATGTATAGCTGATTCATTTTGTTATAAAGCAGAAACTAACACACCATTGTAAATCAATTATACTCCAGGGCTTCCCTGGTGGCGCAGTGGTTGAGAGTCCGCCTGCCAATGCAGGGGACACAGGTTCGTGCCTGGGTCCGAAAGGATCCCACATGCCACGGAGCGGCTTGGCCCGTGAGCCATGGCCGCTGGGCCTGCGCGTCCGGAGCCTGTGCTCCGCAACGGGAGAGGCCACAACAGTGAGAGGCCCGCGTACCGCAAAAAAAAAATAAAAAAATTAGACTCCAATAAAGATGTTAAAAAAAAAACTAATGTGCATGATACAAGAGGGTAGCACTAGATAAGAAATGAAGTAGAAAGGAATAAAAGGAAGAAGTATAAATTTTAAAGAAAAAGGCAACTCATCAAAATCACTTCAATGAATGCAACAAAAAGTTACCCAATAACACAAATGTCAAATGAGTCTCCTGGTTAATGACTTTATCATTAGAAGATAGAATGTGTTCTATCTTCTGAGATGAAGGAAGATACATTCCTTTATATCCCCCAATTAGACTGTTTAGTTGATTAAAAATACACGAATAAAAGAATGAAAGAAAGGGGTTTAAAAAGCACAAAAATATAATTCAATCTGCCTGTAGGAGTAATATGGGCAAAAAATTTAACTTGGATAGATAAGAATTTCAGAGTTAGAATCATTGCACCGCATCTGATAAACTGACCATTAACTCACTCTAAAACCTGCAGACTTAAGGAAAAAATCAGGGGATTATAAATTCATTGTATTAAATAATCAACTTATCTCCTTCTTCAACAAAATACTGATTTCTTTGCTGGAAAAATCTACTTAAATTTCAAAAAGAACTCATAATTATTTTGTAAATCTTGAAGAAATATACATAGATATAAGAAGTTCCTAAAATTCTTCACCTAAGCATTTATGTGCATGGAAATAAACTAAATTTTCATTGTGACTTGGATCTGAAGTCATAAAAAATCATCACATTTCTTAATATTAGGCCTTCTCCTAAAAGCATTCAATTAATAGTATTAAGTCAACAACCAGTATCAAAAAAATGTGATTAAGTTCACTTTAAACTATTTACTTTAATCACTTAATTAAATTAATTTAAAGTTATTGTAATTAAATCAAAGTTTGGTTTTAAACATTCAGTGAAGTCACACAAAACAGCAGTGTTGTTATACTGTATTAAGGACAACTTTACCTCTAGGCAGTCATTGAAGAGGAAGAGGGTTACTTGTTCTCCTCTGTCACAGGGGTGCTCACCTAGAGAAATTGTTTCAACTCGCTGAACTAAGCTTCGGTGAGAAGATAAAAGATTAGCCTGAATAGATTGAAAATATTAATAAAAGAGATTACTTTATAGCAAATAATTTTTAAAAGTTATAATTTAAAAGAAAGTTGTGTTGAGATTCTGTTTATATTATAACTGCAGAATCTAAATACATTTGAGCCTTTAACAACACAGGTTTGAACTGCGTTGGTCCACTTATACACAGTTTTTTTCAATAAATAAGTACTACAGTACTACACGATCCATGGTTGTTTGAATCCATGAATACAGAACCACAGAAACAAAGGGCCAACTATAAAGTTATATGCAGATTTTCTACTGCACTGGTGGGGCTGATGCCCTTAACACCCAGTTGTTCAAGGGTCAACTGTTAACAAGAAAAAGAAAATAAGTTGACAATCATCAAAAATGAATACCTACTGGACATCCATCTACTTCATAAACAACATCGAAAATTTGCTTTTGAGCTTCTGTCTTTCTCTTATCCTCATTAATATGGCTGAAAAATTAATAAGGTTACTTTTAGAACAAGACTATAAAAACTGTATATACATACATCTCATGTCACAAACAAAAATCCTTCTATGTGAGTCTATCTTAATTTTGATACCTGTATCAGTTAAAATATTCCCTAAAAGTATCCCACTACATTAAAAAAAATTTCATACAACCCTTCAGAGAAGTATATTTTGCTTTAGTCCTTACTATACTGTGTCTTTTTTTTAAACTATACTCACTATACACTTCCTAAAATACGTTACACTGGTATAACCTTCAGGTTCTCATAATCTAACTGTAAGTTCAGGTAAAGTTTTATGCAAATCACTCCTAAGCCATATGCTAATCATTTCACTGAAATAAAAATTAAGACTACTGGACAAGATGGAATAAGGAGGAAAAAAATATACTCTGCCTGAAACAACTAAAAAAATAAAAACCATCAAAGTATAAAGAAACAGGGTTCTCAAGTCACTGGAAGTCAATTCCTGTGAGACAGGAAACAATGCAAGGCCAATTATATCCTGTATACAAAAGGTACACTTTACATACTAAGACATAAATAGACTGAAAGTAAAATGATGAAAAAGAGCACAATATATTCTCCTCAAGTGTACATGGAACGTTCTCCTGGTTGAGCCATAAAATAGGCCTCAAAAAGTTTGAAAGGACTGAAATAATACAAAGTATATTTTCCATAAACAATGAAGTAAAATCAGAAATTGATAACAAAAGGAAACTTTGAAAATTCACAAATATGTAGGAATTAGCCAAAACACTCCCACACAACCAATGGTCAAGAAGTAATCACAAGGGAAATTAGAAAATACTTTCAGGTAAACAAAAACAAAAACACAAAATGTATGGAATATGACCAAAGCAACGCTTAAAGGGAAATTTATAGCTATAAAAGTGTACAACTAGGGGCTTCCCTGGTGGCGCAGTGGTTGAGAATCTGCCTGCCAATGCAGGGGACACGGGTTTGAGCCCTGGTCCAGGAAGATCCCACATGCCGCGGATCAACTAAGCCTTTGTGCCACAGCTTCTGAGCCTGCACTCTAGAGCCCACGTGCCACGACTACTGAAGCCTGCACGTCTAGAGCCTGTGCTCCACAACAGGAGAAGCCACCACAATGAGAAGCCCGCACACCGCAATGAAGAGTAGCCCCTGCTCACCAACTAGAGAAAACCCCCGCACAGAAACAAAGACAAGAATGAAGACCCAGTGCAGCCAAAAATAAATAAATTTAAAGAAGTGAAAAAAAAAGTGTACAATTAAAAAAATGATCTCAAATCAGTTTCCTAACCTATAAGACACTGGGGAGGAAAAAAGAGCAAGCTAAATCTAAAGCAAGCGGGAAAAAAGGAAATCATAAAGATCAGAGTGAAAATGAATGAAATAGAGAATAGAAAAAAATCAACAAAACTAAAAGCTTTTTTCTTTTATGAAAATACGTTAACACTCACTGCTTAATTCGTAGTTTGTAGAAAGGATCAAGGTAAATAAGGTGTGAGTACGTTAAACCACAAAGTGTTGAAAAACACTATTATCCTGATCCCCAAATAACAAAGCAAAAGCATGAAGGCTGGCTGATTAACATATAATATATAAACATAAGCAAAAGCCAAAATATGCATAATGCTTTCAGCAGCAACAGAAGCTGGTATTCATTAATTTGAGCATTATACTACTGCTGGATCCTTTCACTAGAGATAGTAATCTTTCTCTCTAGGAGCTCCTTTGCAAGTATTTTTAAGAAACGCTATTTCACATAGAAGCACCTCATGGAATCTCAGAAATCATTTAAATCTATTGAATATGTTTATTATGTAAAGCTCAAAGAAGTGAAATGCCCTCGCCCTTCATGAAGCAAAACAATTAACAGCAACAGAGTTTTCAATTCTGATCATATTAGGCAGGAAAAAATCATTTCTGATCAGTGCTATGTCTCCAAGTTAAACCTACAGTAAACAGCTTAAGTTTAACAATCAAGTTCCCTAGTAAATTTCTTTGAGTTTATACTTCTAATACATCTCCAACAAACCGTATCAATTTAATTCCATAGAATTCAAAGTAAGAAACAAAAAGTCAAAGCTAATGTGAAAAAAGTATTATAAACTTCTTTTCATCATGGTCAAATTCCCAATTTCCATTTGGGTAGTTTATAAGAATATGAAGACAAAAACAAGGTAAGACTGGAGGTATATGAAGAAAATGTCTACTAGTGTATTTATAACATTTTCAAATTTCTAAACCATTGTTACTCTCTGCATAATAGTTCAATACCTTCAGAAATATGTCTTTAGTTAATTATTGTATGCTTAACAATACTTCTAACATTTTAATATGTGACTACACTACTATAAAATAATTTAGATACTATTACAGAATTATGCTATTGATATTTTTCTCACCATTTATGATTCTAATTGTTCTACCAATTCCATTCTAAATCTAAGGAGCAATAAAAAATTGAAATAATGTACTTACGTCATTACTTCCTTTAGTGATCCAATAGCTTTTTCTAGAGTGCTTCTGTCAGGATTTTCTTCAGCTGTATGCTTCTTAAGATCTGTAATGATAAAATGTTTTCTCTATGATTAAAAGAAATTCAGTGGTTCTCCAACTATGACTTAAAAACACTGTCCACTTTGATAGATACAGGTTGATTAATTTTTAAAAAATAATATCTAACTTTTACTTTTTTTTTTTTTTTGCGGTACGCGGGGCTCTCACTGTTGTGGCCTCTCCCGTTGCGGAGCACAGGCTCCGGACGCGCAGGCTCAGCGGCCATGGCTCACGGGCCTAGCTGCTCCTGCGGGCTTCCCTGGTGGCGCAGTGGTTGCGAGTCCGCCTGCCGATGCAGGGGACACGGGTTCGTGCCCCGGTCCGGGCAGAT